TATAGAATCTTAGTTATTGATCATTTGGGGGTCTTGGTTGTCTTGTTTAAATTAGTGACTCAGATTTGAATCATAGAATGGAAATCAAACTGAGTTTCCTTTTTAGGAGTCATTTCACATATACTGTTAAAGGTTAACTTATTTAAAAACTGCCTTCTGTAAGTGGGCATTTCTTTTTGCAGTCTGTTGTCTGTTTATCAGAGGTGCATTTTGGAATACGTCACTTGGGGAACATTCCCTGCCCTTCAGCATACTGCACTGTTGCAGTGCCCTATCCTGCCATCCCTGGAGCAGACCATGTTACTCTTGTTTCTACACTGGTACAACCCCCCTCCCCCAGGTCCTGAACAGCCACCCACGTCTTCAGTAAACTTCCTACTTGGTGTAGACCACTTGACTGCTCAACATTCTCTGTGTTAAGACTAGTCATGTTATATTGCATTCATTCTTTCCTGTTGAAATTGCTATTCCTACTTGAGTAGCTTTTGTCATTTGAAATCATATTGAACTCATACTTTTTCAATAACTCCTTTGATTTAAACACTGTATTATGTTTCTTTTTGATAGTTAAATAAGCAACCAGTTCCATCAGTGGGAACACCGAGAACAATTCTCTTATCTTGCTAATATCCTTCCTGTTATTTTAAAAAGGTTCCCAGCTTTCCAATCAATAGCTCTGTGTTTCCTAGCCTTCATTTCTTTTATTCTTCTTTGATCCTTTTCTCCAACCCACCCCTGACACTTATGTCCTGTGAGCTGGAATCTATTTTTTTTTCAGTGGGAGGTATAACATCAGCTAGAATCTAGGCATGTAGTCAGGATGGGTATAAAAGCTGGAAATAGATAAAAGGGTTACTATTTATTGGCTAGAGAAATCTCCTTTGTGAGGTATGGGGTTTTGTCTTTGAGCCTTCTTATTTATGAGGTTATATCTTTAACCACGATTCTTACTCACTAACAGGTTATGGAGGGATCCACAGGGAGATGTGGGTGCAGGGGACTAGCACCTACATGTAATCTGTCTTCCAGGCCTCTCCTTCTGCTGGGTCTGCATCACTTAATGGTTTTATGCTAAGAGCTGCTAGAAATTACTGCTTCCAGCAAGAAGTGGACATGACTATTATTTCACCTCACCGGATGCTTTTCTGAACCAGAGTTCTTTAATTCAGGGTCTCCAGGAGAACTGTCATGTGAGTGTCAGGGCAGCAGAGCTGACTACAGGTATTTCAGGAGGACCCAGGCTTGGCTTTCTGTTGTTCTCACAGGCAATAGATGTGGGCAGATCACATTAAGTCCCGTGTCCTAAATACTGGAAACATGAAACTGTCTAGAAGAGTTACTTCATGTTACGTGGAAAACTCAGTATACATTTCTTCCCTCGATGAAGATGCATGAACAGAGGGGTTGTGGATGCTGGTATGATTCATAGCAGCCTAAACTGTATATAACCTTACTTGTATGGACACACTTGTTCATGAGCTTTAGAGTACTCCTGAAGTTATGGTTGATGGTACTCAATACATAGCCATTTATAGTCACAGCAGTCATGACAACCATTGCTTATTTTGGCCTGGATTTGATACAGTGTATCACATCTGTTAGTGGTATATGCAGCGGTGTTTTTTAAGTTCTGCTCAGGTATCGGAGTGCTTCAAGCTGTTTCAGTAAAATGCATGTATTAGATTTCTACTCTTGGGTAATATAGTACCGCAGAGGCACAGGCTTATCATTTCACAGTTTCAATGGCTTGGAAGTCTGGGTGTGGCCTAGGGTTGCTTTGTCGGGGATCTTGTCAGGCTGAACTCAGGTTGCTGTCTCGGTGGCAGTTCTTACCTGGAGACAGAACTGAGTTATACTGTGTGTGCAGATATGTGGTTCCCATTTTCCTGATGGTTGTCAGGCAGAGATGGTGTTAAACTTATGGTCCGTAGCATACTCTCAGCATGGTCATGGCTGTGTCTCAGACTAGTCAGCCTCCAGCTTTCTGACTTCTTTTTCCTGGTTTGGGAGGGCTCTCTGAGCTTTGTTTACCCCACTAGGAAATCTAATGTTTGCATAGAGAACAACATAATTATATCACGTCATACTTGCATGGAAAACGGAGGGAATTATTCAGACAAGTGATACTAGGAATTGTTTTAGAATTCACCTCTTAGAAATTTCAAATTTTGGTGATATCTATTCATAAGCATATATACTTATTATTTTTTTTAGCAGCATTGCACTTTTTAAATAATAGCTTTTGGATGAAGGTCTCAAAGCCTCAGCTCTTTTGTGTAAAACATATGATGATTAATTATTTGGATGAATCATTTTGTATATGATTTATTACAAGAAGACTGAGCACGGCACTGTGGGAAAAGATACAGTAACATAGTAGGGCCCTTACATTCATGGATTTAGGTAAAGAATGGTTGAATCTCAGCTGCTGGAGGGAAGGCTCAGCAGTTAAGAGCACTTGCTGCCCTTGCAGGGGATCTGGGTTCTGTTCCCAGCATCTACTTGGCAGCTTACAAGTGTTTACAACTCCAGTTCCAGGGGCTCCAGCACCATCTGCTGGGCCCTGTGGGCACCAAGCATGCGTGTGGTGCATATACATATATGCAGGCAAAAGATGCATACATATAAAATAAAATAAAAAACCTTAAAAATATAAGTAATGCCTCTCACATATGGTCTGCCGTAGGGTGCCTGAAAAACATGGTACTGTAGAACTAGTATGGCATGCTGACTTATTTTAAATTCACCTCTGAACTGGAATCTAAATTGAAAGAAATATGCTTCTTTTCATTCCTTTGTCAGTCTACTTAGATGTTTGTCAACTTCTAACTTTGTGTTTTAATTTTTATTAATTTTCATTATTGGTTTCTATTTTATTTTCATTTTGATATTGAATTGTTATTTAATTTTACGCTTATTTTAGATTTCATCCACTCCTCTAAGTATCTAAAGTATCTGAAGATTGACTCCAAGGTTATATCTTTATATCTTCTTTTCTGCATTCATTTAACGTTATATATTTATGTATATGTATATATTATATTTACATATATGTATACATATATATTAGTATTATATGTTTATGAATTTGTCTTAGAACCTCTTGTGTTTAGGGTTCAGTGTCACTTAAGGCTCACGGGTCTATTGGCTGACTCAGTGATGGTGACATTTTCTTATTCATTGCCTTCTGATCTTTAAAAAGAACACAAAGCCTTAAAATATGGAGTACATTTAGCATACTTATGGTATATTATTAAGTTTTGATCATGAGTAGAAGATTCTATATTGAATCTTTAAACAATATATTCTTCAGTGCTGGAGAAATGGCTCAGCAATTAAGATTACTTGCTGCTCTTCCAGAGGACCCATGTTTGGTTCCCAGCATCTTTGTTGACAGTTTACAAGCATTTGTAACTCAGCACCCTTTTCTGGCCTCTCAGGATACTACACAAATGCGGGGTGTGCGCATGCGCACACACACACACACACACACACACACACACACACACACACACACACACAGACACACAGAGCCAGACAGACCATACATATACAGAAGAAAAACAACAGGAAAACCCAAACTCTCAAACATCCTCAGCACTTCTGAGGTATGCTAAAAAGGATCTGTCTCATTTGGTTTAATCATAATTCAACCTATACTTAACAATGGCAGCAAAGTCTTGAGACAGGATGGATGGTCAACATTGAATTAATTTTTTTCCCTGAAGCTTTGAGTACTTGGCTTATTTTATACCCACATTTTACTTGTTATTTCTTATCATATAAATTTGCATATTTATTACATAATTTAAATAAAAGTTTATAAATTTAGTGATCTTACCTTTACTTGTATCTGCAGATATCTGATATTCTGCTTGATGGTTTTTCCCCACTGTGCTTATACACACTCGGAAACATTGCCTACAGCTGCGTCTGTGTCTATGGTTACATCCGTGTGTGCATCCATGTACACAGATACATTTACTCTCCAGATGGACTCAACCTGTTATGTTATTCCAAAAGTTGATCTTGAAACTTTAGCAATATGAGCTCTTATTAGATGTTTTCCAGTTTTTCTCATTTGATAGCATATAGGGATGCAGAAACTGTTTACTTGAAGAAAACCTGTAAGAGCAGTTTCATTCAGAATAATCATTTCTTTAGAGAGAAGAGTGAACTTGGGTGTAGATGTCTTCTGTTGAGATGACCGGAAAGCAGGCGAGAGTTACTCATCTCAGCCTTCCGTCAGTTGACTGTTGTCTGGGGACTATGCTGAGGCAGCACCCCAGTTAGGGGGCCTAGTAGAGCAAAGATGCTCATGTGTGGTTGCTGTAAATCATATGGAGAACAAGAGCAAGCTAGAGTGAGAGGAGCAGAGTAGGAGGGGGAGGGGGAGGGGAGGGAAGAGGGGGTGGAGATCATGTTCTAGAGTCCAGAAGCTAAGGAAATGCACACAACCAATGGTCTAACTTCCTTCTGCTGGGTCCATCTGCTGAGTCTTCCACCACCTCACAGTACTGTTCATGGTGGGGACCACCAAGCCTTTCACACATGGCCTTTGGGGGACACCCAAGATCCTTACAGGAAAGCTAGAGGCTGCATAGTAGACTACAGAGTTTCTAGAGGGTAGGGAGGATGAAAGAGTTGGGACACAGTGTGGTAAGTGTGGTTCTTGTTGCTGTTGTATGTTTGTTTGTTTATGAAGTCGGGTTATCCAGTCTTGATGATTTAGAACCTTGTAGGATATATGGCCTGAGCCAAAATGATTTTTTGTTTGTTTGTTTTAGATAGATAAATTTTCTTTTCTTTTTTTTTTTTAAGTGTAAGCCATGAGTTTATATAGAATAGTTATAAGGAATTTTCCAAATTGTGAGTATAGCTCATGAAAGTGGGCTTTTTAGTTATTTCCTGAAATTGAAATGACACTGAAAAAAATTAGTGTGTTTAGTGATCATGATCTTTCAGTGAAGAGTTCTCAAGTCATTCCTTTTATTTTCCAGATATGTGTCACAAAGATGTCTACACGGAACTGCCAGGGGATGGATTCAGTGATCAAGCACCTGGACACAATCCCTGAGGATAAAAAAGTCAGAGTTCAGAGGACACAGAGCACTTTTGACCCGTTTGAGAAACCAGCCAATCAAGTAAAAAGGGTGCATTCTGAGAACAATGCTTGCATTAACTTTAAGTCCTCCTCTGCTGGCAAAGAGTCACCTAAAGTTCGAAGGCACTCCAGCCCCAGCTCGGTAAGCTCTGCCCTCTCCAGTATATCACCTGGTAAACCCCAGGCCTAGCCTTCATCATAGCTGCACACTGTGAGGAAGAAGGCAGGTGGTGTTTGCAGTGAGTTTTTATGCATTCTCTCCCAGGGTGGTTGAATGTTTTGGAAGAGAGAAAGTTATTCACAGACTCTTGAGTTAAGAGTATCCAGCAAGCAAACGAATGGAATAATTTAATTTATTTTTAGAAAAAAGCAAACAAACATTTTTTTTCTTCTTTTAAAAGTAAGAATGTTTGGAGTTAGACAAATTGATCATTAAAAATCCTTTGTATTTCTCCCTCTTCGAGATGATTGTGAACTTTTCTGTGCTTGTGAGAAGTTTTCTAAGTTGGCAGATTGACAAAGCATTTCACTTCAAGAAGAGCGTTGTTCATGTGTGGTCCCACAGTTTGCTTCCAGTGGAAATATTTTAGAATTTAGCAGCAAGGCATTGATCTTCAAAGGGAAAGCCCATTCATTTTTAGGAAATCTTATGCTCTAAACCAAGGCATTTCTTGCCTTTTGATCAAGGTGCCTTCATTTGCATGTAACAGAATCCAGTAGACGGGAGGGCTTCAGAAAGAGAAATTTACTTTTTGTGAGCTGGGAAGTCCTTGCTCAGGATTCTGGCAGTGTGGTGCTGCATGTGGTCAGGACACTGGTCTCACTCATGAGGGTGACAATCAGATTAGCTTCTGTCTTCTCCAGATGTCTCCTCTGTCTAAGTACTGCTTCACTGAGATGGGGCAATTTTCAGGACTCAGCTTTTAAAGGAGGCATTCTCATTCAGGATGCTTGCTGCTTTTCACTTACAAAATTGTAATTGGAACTCTTACTTTCAAGGCTGGTGGGCATTTAGCATTGTAAAAATATCCTGTGATCTTTGGAAACTGAATAATTTTCAGACTTAACTGACACTTAATAATCTTTTGACATTGATGCCCTAAGAGTTTAAAAAGAGAAAGGGAAATATTAAGGGAACTTACATTCTGTTATCTTGCTAAAAACACATGTCATTTGACAAATTTGAGTTCAAAGTTTTTAATGGGAACAGACCCAGCAAAGCCACTGAACTGCTCCAATAGTATTGGCACCTAAGTTTAATTACACTTTATATTGTAGAATAATATTTTAAGATGTGTTACATTTGTTTATGCTGTGGAACATTTGTTTTAATAATGCAAAGATGTGTTGCATTCTTTTATGTGTTGCATTTGTTTAGATCTCTAAAGTTTTGTTACTTTGTCTGTCTAAAACACCTGATTGGTGAAATAAAGAGCTGAATGACCAGTAGTGAGTCAGGAGAAAGGATAAGTGGGGATAGCAAGCAGAGAGAATAAATAGGAGGAGAAATCTGGGAAAAGAGGAGCAAGAGAATGAGAGGAGGACACTAGAGGCTAGCCACACAGCCAGCCAGCAAGTAAAAGTGAAAGTAAGATATACAGACATAAGGAAAGGTAAAAGCCCAGAGGAAAAAGGTAGATGGGATAATTTAAGAAAAGCTGGCTAGAAACAAGCCAAGCTAAGGCCAGGCATTTATAAGTAATAATAAGCCTCCATGTGTGATTTATTTGGGAGCTAGGTGGCAGCTGCAAAGAGCCAAAAGAGAAAAACAGTGAAAGAGTAAAACAAGCAAACAAACAAAAGCAAAAAACAAACAAACAAACAAACAAACAAAACCCCACAAGAAACAAAACCAATAACAGCTTTATGCTATGAAACAGATGCAATGTCAATAAAGCAGAAGTAAAGATTACTGCAACACCTTTGAAAGTTGGTTATATACCCCGAATCTTTGCCCATGATTGTTACGTGTTACTATAAGGTAGGACTTACCTGTGTCACAGCACTACCATTGACTTCTCATAGAACCTTCAAATTTTGTATTATGTAAAAGAAATTAAGAGTTGTTGAGAGTGATCAGGCTCCTACCATGTTAAGAGAATTGTGTGCATTTTACTCTGTAGTTATCTGGTATCATGTATGTCAGCCTATAATTGATTTGCAGGAATTATCATACTAGATATTACAATGAATTAATCTTATACTAAAATATAAATCTATCTGAGTTCATTCAAATGATCGTCCTGTACGTTGTTTGGAATTCCTAGCTATGGTGCATGGGTACAATATCCCATCTGGGATATTGTTCTAATTATTCCTATAGGTGTTGTTCTGATTATTCCTATAGGTGCAAGTCTTTTAGGTTCTGTTTTTCTTTTTAAACATATCCTCATTCCCTTGTTTTGAAATTTTCCATAATTTCTGATTCATATAATAATCTTGGTTTATAATTATACTTTCTCTGCCTTTGATCTAGAATCAGCCATTTCTCTAGACAGCTCTCATCCCTCCCCTTGCCAATTGGAGAATGCAAGTTGCAAATTAAGATGTGATTGCTGTGTGTGCTTATTGCTAATGGGGATGATGTAGTTTTAAAAGTCAATGCATATATCATAATGTAAATATTAACAATGTACTTTGGATATTCGTTTATAAATTTTAATAAGGAATTAGTTTTAAAAAATCCTTATCAAGAAAAGCTGGGAGCCACCTGTTTGATATGTTTGGGATTTTTCTTTCCTCATGAAGTTTTTTGGTTATTGCAGTAGTATTGAACACTGCTTACAGGTCAAATATGATAGAATTAGGCAGATGGTAGTGCCATAAGTTTTGAAACCCACCATATAATTAGAGAAACTAGTAGAGTAAAACCAAACCAGTAGATAATATCTCCAGTAAGCACACAACATCTCCATGAAGCTCAGGGTCATAGGGACTGGACAGATTTTGAATAGTATCAAGAACTGGACAGTATCAGGGAAGGGGAAACTGAGGACCTAGACATTCTCACCTGGGACATGTGGCAGCTCACTGAGAATCCTGCACAGCACTGAAACCTCAACGAGAAACTTTTTCTTTTTTCTTTTCCATTTTCTTTATTAAGAAATTTTCTACTCACTCTACATACCACCCACAGATCCGAACTCCTCCATCCTCTCATCTCCTAGCCCTCCCTCCCAAGCCACCCCACATCCCCACATCCCCCAAATCAAGGTCTCCCATGGGGAGTCAACAGAGCCTGGCACACTGAGCCTAGGCAGGTCCAAGCCCCTTCCCACTGTACCAAGTCTGCGCAAGGCACCACATCACAGGCACTAGATTTCTTTTGGGACTTTTCTCAAATGACAAATTGAGGCACTTTCTTGCCCTACGAAGAAAGCATTGGAAAAATTCTGCACGGGGTAGATTCAACAGATCCAAGGGAACAGGGAGGCCCAGGAAGAAGTGACATAGGGAAACAGAACTTAGGCATAACTAGTAATTTACAGGATAATAAGGAATACATAAAGAGATTTTTCTCTGTTATATTTGTATCTACAGACACACTTATCTAACATTTTAAGCTTACATTAATATGTATCATTTTATAATATATTATTCATACTACAGAAAGTATAGTATACTATGGTTGAATTTCTAACTTTTATTTCTTGTAATTGCATTTTTTTTCATTAGTCCCCAACTGGCAAGATTAGTAACACCATTTTGCCTTCAATAACAATGTGTTAGTTTGATTATTTTATACCTATGACAACCATAGGAAATCATGACCTATGAAAACCATTGGCACAGGGTTCTGTTGTTTTTGGAAGCATTTGATGACATAGTGGTGATTGCTAAATCTAAGAGTACCCCTGCCCTGACACAGCAGCATTAATTTGTACCTTCATCTCTTGGTTATTTTAAAATACTGGTTAGTTAGTATTGTCTGAAGGAGTAGAGTTGAGAAGAAAAGACAACTTGATGAAGTTGGCAATACCTCTACTATTATAATGAGGAAATGAGTATTTCATATACATGCTGTGGCCGAAACTATTTTAAATTGCCACACCTTGGAATGGGGATGTAACTCAGGGGTAGAACCCTTGTCTATCATGGATACACAAGCCTTGTGTTCAATCTCCGGTATTGCATAAAAACAAAACACAACACAAAACCAGAAACTGAAAACCTTAATCACACCTCCATTTCTTGTACATGTGTGTGTTCGTGCGTGCGTGCGTGCGTGCGTGCTTGCGTGCGTGTGTGTGTGTGTGTGTGTGTGTGTGTGTGTGTGTGTGTGTGTGTGTGTTTCCCAGGTATAGGCTGTTATATGGTAGGAAGAGTGGCTGAAGTCCAAGAATCAATATAAACTTGATAACAGTATCTATTATGCTCGTCCATACTTGTATTTCCCCCCCGCCCCTAGACCATGGTATGTTGAAATTCAGGGGTATTGTAAAGAATAAAATTCATAGTAATTAACATATTTTCAAAAGATATTTGATGGTTTGTTTCTAGCATTTTTATTATCTACTTTTTATAGTATTTAATAATGCTATTACTGACATGATAAGCACTCACTAGCCTTTCCTGTTGCCTTCAGCACAGCTCATCACCACACTCCTTCTAGCTGTGGCTGTTGGGAGGACTGTAGGTAGATGCTTGTCTTGGTGGTCCAGGTTAGAAGGTATTTCATTGAGTTGAACTGACATCTGCTGAGCCCAAACAGAGCTTATTTTCAGAAATTTCATATTTAGGTTATTTTTCTTCATATATTCTCCAAACTGCTATAGATTTACATCATTCTCTACCATGAACATCTTCATGTCATGATAGCAGTGCTAAATCTGGAGAGAGCGGAGGAAGGTCTGGGTTTGCAATGAGAGTCCACACATACTCATCCTGGGGTCATGTCTGCTTGGCATTGCTTCCTTTCTGGTGAGAGTGCAAAATCCCCACACAGAGCCAAGCTTCTTTGTCTGCTTATTTCGATGGCTGGTATTTATTTGGGTCTGTAACTTTGTCCAGCATTTAGATCCTCTTTGCAGTTAAATTATCTGTTTACCATGAATTGCCTTAATGATGGAGGAAAACTGCTGAGAGATAGAGCCTGTTCTGGGTCTCAAGGAACAACAGAATGACTGGGGGCAATCTTGAATC